AATTTAAAAATATATATCCTCTGAGAAATTTTTTAAAAAGATAATGTGTTGATAAAATGAAAATTTTTTTTAAATGAATAATCAAAAATTTAAAAATATATATCCTCTGAGAAATTTTTTAAAAAGATAATGTGTTGATAAAATGAAATTTTTTTTTAAATGAATAAGAACTCAAAAACATTTAAAATGACAGTGGAAATTTTGAAAATTCAAGAGAACAGAAAGGTTAGAAGATAAAGTGGAGGAAATCTCCTAGAAAGTTGAATAAAAAGATATAGACAATAATAGAAAACAGATACAAATGCTCAGGGCCACCAGACCAGAGTGAGTTCCAGGAAAAACAGATGAATTGAGTGAGGGAAGTTATCCAAGAAGTACTACAAGAAAATCTTTCAAGACTAATGCAAGTTTGCTTCAAAATCAAAAAAGTCAAAGCCTTCCTTCCCCAAATGCCCTGCATGATGAACACACACATACACAGAAAAACCACATGGAATTCCAGGTGTAAGGATAATGAGAAGATCGTACATTTTCAGAGAGAAAAAAACAGGTCCCCTACTAAGGTTTGGGAATCACAATGGCATTGAACTTCTCAAACAATGTTGGAAGCTAAATAAAAACGGAACAATGACTTTCAAATGGCAAGGGGAAATTATTTCCTATCTAGAATTTATACCCAGCTCAAAATCTCTAAGGAAGGAGAGGAGAATGAAGAGACTGCAGACATGCAAGGACTTGAGAAATTCACCTCCCACGGACTCTTTCTCAGAAAGCTACTGGAAGACCCTCTGCTAAAACAAGGGAGGGAACCTAGAAAGACATGGGGTCCCACACAGAGGAGAGGCAAAGGGGATTCTCAGAACGACGGCAAGGGGAAGGCCCACGAACCCAGGCAGGACACCACGACGAAGGCCAAGAAAGCAGCGAGGCCACCGTGAACATGGGCGCAGAAAGCTCCAGGACATCTGAATCCAACACAGACTTTTGTCACATTAACAGGACTTTCAGAGTTTTGATAAATTAGTGACTAACAGATGCAAAAATAAATCTCCCCAGCCTGACGTGTGGCTCGAACTGTACCACGCTGCTTTCCTGCTCTGCATCCTCGTTTTCCATCTTCTGCTGTGTATGGATATTAGGTAGCCAAGCAGTGGACTGTATTTGGCATGTGGTTATTTTTCTATTTTGGGGGGGTGTGTGTGCTATTTTTGGTCTAACCAACATCCCTACTCCCATCTCCTGAATATGTTGCTTTTGCAAATGCTAAGGACGAACTGCCTTTTCTGTCTGACACCCACACCTGTGTTTTCTGGGGTATCTGTTATTTCTGTCTGCCCAGCCAGCCTCTGTTCTCTTTTATTCTCCTAACAACACCCCAACCTTCCTGGGAGGATGGCCAGTTAGCTCAGTTGGTTAGAGTGCAGCCTTGTAACACCAAGGTCAAGGATTTGGTTCCCTATACTGGCCAGCCACACAAAAAAAAAAGTTTAAAAAAATAGGCTCTGGGAAAGCCACTTTCCCCAGCTCTCTCAGTCCACATGTAAAAAGAAGCCAATTTAGCTCAGTTGGTTAGAGTGCAGCCTTGTAACACCAAGGTCAAGGATTTGGTTCCCTATACCGGCCAGCCACACAAAAAAAAAAGTTTAAAAAAATAGGCTCTGGGAAAGCCACTTTCCCCAGCTCTCTCAGTCCACATGTAAAAAGAAGCCAACCTCGCTCCTTAGCTTCAGGGATAAGAACATGACCTAGGCCCAGCTGATCAGACTCACAGAGGTGGGTTCAAGGAAAAACATGTGACCCAGGTCAGTCCACCCTAGAACTTGTATGGGAAACCCCAGAGTTAGAAAGTCTCCGATGACAGGATTTGTTAAGATGGCAAAATACCATCCCCACAGAGCTGGTGTGACACAGCACAGATGAGAGCCCTGCTGAAAGATACTGAGAGCTCCGGTCCTGATGACATCATCTGCATGGCACCTGAATCCTGGGCACCCACAGGCCCTCCAGTTTTCAGTTATGTGAGCCAAGAAAAGTCTACACTTAAGCCACTTGGAGTTGGGTTTCAGTGACCAAACAAATCCCTACCGATATGTTAGGAGACAGGGGTATACCAGTGAGGGCCTGGGGGCAGGGGCATATCTCACCTCGGACTACAGTGCCCGGGTAGAGGCAGCGGTACTGCTGGCTCCAGTAGGCCGCGATCCTGGTCCCTTGCGGCAAGAAGCGGGTGGAGGCCGGCCTCACATCGATGATCTGGGAAAGCATGGGACTGAGCGCCAGGCAGTGACCAGAAACAGAGCTGTGGCCACAGCCTGTGACACCCCCCACCCCCTCCCCATCTCACCGCCTCCTGCAGCAGCTGCTCCAGACAGTAGATGTGGGGCCGGTTCCCACGCTCACCCTCCACCACCACACGGTATCTGCGAAGCCAGGGCAAAGGTGGTGAGAGGTGGTGGAGGCTGGAGGGACCCCAACCCCGCCACTGCCAGTTCTGCCTTCCAGACCTCTAGGATGCAACACCAGAGCCTGAAGGTTCACGGACTTGCTCTATAAATGTAGGGCAAATTCCGTCCCCTCTGGGCTGTTTCCTCATCTGTATGACTAGGGGTTGCAAAGCATGCTGGGCCAGTCCGGTCCAGATGCCAAGATAGGACAACACATTCTCTCACTCCCCAGCCCAATAGGAGCCCCACCCCTGGCAGGGCCCACCCCACACACCCTCAAAGTGCACCGGCCTCCCAGTCCCCTCTGAACCCACCCAAACCCTTGCCCCATTTGGTGGAGGGGAACCCACAGCTCAGAGAAGGGAAGGAACCTGCCCAGGGAGGCACAGCAAGGCAGCCCTGGATTCAGCCACGACTCACATATCTGGCGAGTGCACCGTCTGCACGTGCCCAGCATACAGCAGCTTATCATCCATGGGGATGAGCACCCGCAGGCCATCCTTCAGCTCGTCCTTGTCGATGATGCAGGAGCGAGGGGCTGCAAGAGGGTGGGCAGTGAGGCAGGGCCACAGCCATGAGTGGCTGGAAGACCCTCCCTCCTCCCAGGCCTACCTGGTCGCCCCCAAGTCACTCCTCTCGGGAGGCGGCCCTGGGGTGCCTGGGTAAGCCTGCACGTGTGTGTGTGCCCATACAGATGGGGTGTGCCAGTGTGCATACCTGGGGTGCCGGGTGTAGCCCCTCTCCTCCAGCCCTGCTCTCCCAGCCCCAGATGTCTAGAGAGACCCCAGGCGATAATGAATCAGGGAGAGAGCCTGCAGGTGCTGCCCCCCACCCCACCCCAAAGTCCAACACCCGCTGGGCCTGGGCATGGAGCTCTGGTCATAGGCCGCCACCCCCACATTCGGGGCCCTCACCCTCTATTATGACCAGGTGTAGCACCCTCACTTATTTCTGCCCCCTTGGCCAAATCTCCAGGACTTTGAATCCGCTTTCCCTCAGGACTTTCAATCCGCTTTCCCTCACCTGGAATGCCTCTTCTGGTAGAAAGCAATCCCCATAGCCTAACTTCCCCAGGGGCCTGTCAGCACCCATGCCCCACCTCCTCTCCCTGCAGCTCCTCCCTGTCTCGTGAGCCTTACCCTCCCCAGGCTAGGGGCTCACACCAGACTCTCCTTAGTTAGTCCTCCTTGGCTGCTTTTCCTTCTCGATGTGACCTGTTATCTGGCCCCTTCCTGGCTACCATTAAAAAGATCCAGCTAGGTTGCTGAGGTAGACAAAACATGGGCTCATGTCATGCCCACCTGCCCCAGGCACCCTCGTCATGGCCTCATCAGGGACAGAGTGGACTTCCCACATCTTGACGCTGGGCTTAGCTGTGTGACTCCCTATGGCCGAGAGCACAAGAGTAGAAGTGTCCGAATGCCAATTTTGAACCTAGCCCTTGAGAGGCCTCCTGGGCTCCTGCTTTCCCTCTAATCATCTGGCAGCATCGCTGGGAGACCACTACACCCCAGCTGGGCCACAAGTCCCACAGGAGGAATGACACACAGATCAGCCAACCCCTGGCCATCCCATCACTGTGAAAGCAAGGGCAGCCAAGGCCAGCACAGCCACCCAGCACCCTGCAGGCCCAAGACACACGTGCAATTGCATGGCCAGTGGTTACACAGCGACAGGTGACCGACACCCACCAGTGACAGCCCAGCTCCTCCTCTTGCTCCTCTCCCATAGCTCATATCCGTGATCTTTCTCTGAGCTCCAGAACCCTGGGTAAAAGTGCTACTGGACGTGACTTCCCTGGGATGTCCTCCAGGGGCCCAAACTCCAGCCACCACAGCCCAACATGATCTGGTCGTAAGCTCAGTTTCGGGGACAGCCCCTCCCCACTAGTCTTCACCTTCCCGTCTCCTCTCTCATCTGCTCCCACACCCATCCCCACATCCCATCCACTCTCCCTCCTACTGTGCTCAAACAAACCCTCACCCTTCTCCTTCCCTGCTGCCCCACAGGAGCCCCAGGTCACACCATCTTTGCCTGGATGGTCACAGCCTCCTACCCTGACTCTCTGCTTCCCCTGGGGCACCTGCAATTCATTCTCTACGCAGCAGTCAGACAGGTCATTTCAAAATCAATCTGACCACATCACTCCCCACTTCCAACCTCAGAGAGCTGCTTATTTTCCTTTGGGCAAACACTAAACTCCTTATCATACCAAGGCCCATGAGACTCAGTGACCCACCTCTGCCTCCTCTCCACCCCAAGGCTGATCTCTTGCTCCCCTCACCCCAGCTTACTGAGCTAGAGCCAAACTGGCCTCCTTTCCATGGACCCCAGGTACTACACCCCCATCCAGCCTCAGGGCCTCTGCACATGCTGTTCCCTGCCCACACGCCCCTTTGCTAGCTCAGGGCACTCCTGTCTCAGGCAGGGATGTGGATCCAACTTCCCCAGAGAACCTCCTGCAGCCCCTCCAGCATACGGCACAGCAGCCACTCACCCGGAGTTGGTGGCCGCTCCACAACCCCGCCACGTGGCAGGTGCTCGTCCTCAGAGAAGCTCGAGTCCTGGTTGGGTTCAAAGTCCTCCTCAGCTGCCATACTCTCCATCAGCTTGCTCACAGCACCCCCCTTCCCCCGGTTCTGAGGACAGAACAACAGCAGACCAGTGGCTTAGAACATGGCAGAGGGGTCCTGTGCAGCTGGGGACCCTCCCTGAAAACCTGAGACACAGTCAGGCCATAACGGCATCTGCCACGTGCATGGTGGGAGTCCCAGCTGGGCTCACCCCAGAGGCCAGAGGGAGGATAAAAATGGGCCCAGAACCCAGCTGGCCAGGCCTTCATGTACTCAGTGCAGTACTCTATGCTTAGTGCTCAGTACTGTACTCGTGTTCTCACCACAGCAGAAACCTCGGTGCCCTCCTTAGAGAAACTCCAGCCATGTGCAATGCGTCTGGAGAAAAACCACTGGGGCAGGGGTTGGCAGCTGTGGGGGACGGACACATGCAGACACACCCCTACCCTATCAACTGAGCAGATTCACCCAAGCCTGGGGGACCCTGTCGGGACCAGGCACTAAGCTGGGTGGTCCTGTTGCCTGACAGGTCTCATTGCAGTCCTTCAGGTGTCCTCCATTCCCCACCCCAACTCCAGGGTGGGAGCTTCCTAAAGACAGGGTCCAAGCCCCCGTGTATCTTGCTATCTTCAGAGCGCGGTGAGTCTCACCTCCTTCTTCACCTCTTTCCCTTTGGCCTTGGCCTTGCTCCTCTTGGCAGTCGCCAGGGAGCTGGTATGAGGGGCCCTGGCCTCGGGAGGCAGGGTGGGAACTCGGGGCGGTGGCAGTGCGGCTCCTGACCCAGCCTCCTTCCCTTTCTTCTTCTGGAGGAGGAAGCAGCAGAGCAGAGGCTTCAGAGGGAAGGCAGGGCCTGTACCCTTCCCCCCACCACACTCGCTCACTCACCCCCTAGTTCTATACGACCCTGAGTGTGCTACTCCTGAGATAGCAACGAAGCACCCCTTCTCCCCCTCTCAAGTGTTTTTGTTTTTAATCTTATTTTATTACTACTATATATTACTTGTTGCCATCTGAAAAAAGAGAATACTGAAGTATATATATGCACAATTTCCTTTCCAACGATCCTCCTACCAACTACACACAGGTCGCCACTAGTAACAGCATAGTGTATACTTCCAGAACTTTCCATGAGCATATACACCCATATAAAGGCAAAGGCTATGCAGACACATTTATGCACACAAAGCATTTTTTTTTTTAAAACACAGGTGGGAATTTACCAAAAGTCCTGCTTTGAACTTTTTTCCCCACTATGTCTGATACACAGAGGTAGCTTCATTTTTGTTTTATAACAGCAGCCTGATGTGCCATGGTGTGGAGGACCATAGTTCATTTAATCAGCTCTCAATGATGGACCTGAGGGCTGCTCCGTCCCCACTATGTCTGATACACAGAGGTAGCTTCATTTTTGTTTTATAACAGCAGCCTGATGTGCCATGGTGTGGAGGACCATAGTTCATTTAATCAGCTCTCAATGATGGACCTGAGGGCTGCTCCGTTTTTTTTTTCACTCTTTCAAAGGCTGCGACACACACACACAAAAAAACCTTACCTGTTAGTTCTATAGGACATATTCCTGGAAGGGGCAGCTAAAACTGCTTAGCCACTGCCTAAGTCACTTCCAGAATGTCTGTACTGCTTTCTCTTGGCCCCAGCAGGGAGGGATGCCCCATCCATCCTATCTCAAAGGTCCTGCCAGTACAGAGAAATGTGCGCTCTTTGCCATGCTGGTGGGGTGGAAACTGGTTCAAATACTTTAAAATGGGCATTGCGGACAGCTTCATTTATCAGAGCAAAGAACTGGAAACAACCTAGGGGTCCGACAACCTGTTACAGAAGCTCCACTGCATCAACAAATACAGTTACGTGCTTTTTTTTTTTTTTTTTTTTTAAAGATGACCGGTAAGGGGATCTTAACCCTTGACTTGGTGTTGTCAGCACCACGCTCAGCCAGTGAGCGAACCGGCCATCCCTCCCCCCCCCCCCCACCCGTGACCTTGGTGTTATCAGCACCACACTCTCCCGAGTGAGCCACGGGCTGGCCCTTACGTGCTTTTTTTACACAGCTGCTCGTGTCATATTCTGAGCAAGAGCCACTGGCATGGGAAAATGGAAATGGCAACACTTTGCACAAAAGGCAGGGCTCGAAACTACAGCTGGGAGGCTGGCCAGCTAGCTGCCGGGTCAGTTGGTGAGAGTGCGGCATTATTACACCAAGGTCAAGGGTTCGGATCCCTGTGCCGTTGACCTGCCAAAAAAAAGAAAAAACCCACAAAACTACAGTTGGCAGAATCCAGCAGGTATGGGTGGTGGGAGTGGGAAGCGTAGAGCTCTACACTTTTTAAAAGACACATGTCAAAAACAAAATGACCAAGGCCAGGGAGGTGGAAAATTACAAAACAGAAAAAGATCAGCATGAGCAAATGTTACCAAGACAACAACAGAAGTCACAACATCCATATCAAACATAAAATTCAAAGCAAATAGCATCAAAAAGGACAAAAAAGGAAATTTTCGAGAGATAAAAGGTACATAGTTTATCCCCACTGGGGGATTAAAATACACATTGGGGAAAATACACATTGTATTTTCTTGTTTCTGATGCATGTTTTCATCCTTTCTTTTTTTTTTTTTTTTTTTTTTCCTTTTTGTCTTTTTTCGTGACCAGCAGCGGATCGCAACCCTCAGTGTCGCGCCCCTACTGAGCCGGGACCGGCAACGGGATCGCAACCCTCGGTGCTGCGCCCGCACCTCGCTCAGCCAGTGAGCGGCCGGTCTGTATGTGGGATCTGAACCCTCGGCGGGAGCGCCGCCACACTCCCAAGCGGCGCACTGTAGCAGTGCGCCACCGGGCCGGCCCCCATCCTTTCTGATTAAGAAGTCAGAAGGCATCTTTAGGGTTGAAGGAACGTTGGTGGTTATGTTTCCTTTATCTCTAACATCTGTTATTAAACAGACAGTTCATCTTAGTGCACATCTTCGCAGCTGCATGCATGGGGAAAAAAAATAATGGCAAAAGAAAGTTGCCTCTGAGTGGATTTTTCTTTTCTTTTCCTTATCTTCCAAATTACTGTTATAATCATATAAAATCAAGAACTACGCTTTTCCCTTTGACCAGAAAATGCATTTCGGGGAGACCCCCCCAGCCCCCCCTCCTTTTTTTAATAAGAAAACTCCTGGGCCGAGCCCGTGGTGCGCTCGGGAGAGTGCGGTGCTGGGAGCGCAGCGGCGCTCCTGCCGCAGGTTCGGATCCTATATAGGACTGACTGGTGTGCTCACAGCGCTCACTGGCTGAGCGCGGTGCAGCCGGTCTCAAAAAGGACCAAAAAAAAAAAAAGAAAACTCCCAATGTGACAGAAGCTCTGTACACAAAACAGAGATGTTCACTGCCATGGTAATTATGATGGCAAAATACCATCATCAGCCAAATCACCAACAGCCAGCATGGTCGATGGCAGGAGATGACACCAACCATGGGATATCCAGACGGAGGATATTATTTAGCCATTTAAAAGTATTGATAAAAAAATAAAAAGTAAAAGCTCATAACATGTGGAAATACACATGATATAATACTATGTCTTTTAGAAAAGCAGGACACAAAAGCATATCTCAAAAAAATATTAACAGTGGTTGTTCTTGGGGTGATTTCCTTCGGTGTGGATTCTCCTTTTGTTGACAATCTGCTCTGTTCCAGTCTCTTGCTACATCATCAAAAGGCTGGGGTTAGGTGATCCATTGGTTCTCTCCCCTAAGAGCCCTGGCTGTTCAGACACCAAGAATTGTGAACCCAGGGCTCTAAGAAAAAGTGCCATCTTGGGAAAGGCCCGAAGAGGCAGTGTTTCCAAGTGGTTAGGATCCAGGCTCTAGATTCCACCCCCACCCCCAACCCCCCACCCCTCAGTGTTCAAAGCTCAGCTATGGTGATCATTAGCCACTGTGACCTTGGGCAGGTCCTTGTCCTCTCATGGGCTACCTATAAAGTGCAGTTAATATGAGGAACCTACTTCATATGGTTCTGTGAGCACTCAATAAAATATACCTGACAGAATGGTTAGAACATATCTGGGCCCTACTATGGGTTGCCTGGTATAATCATTACAATCATTATTATTACTTATTCTGGCACCTCCTCTCCAAGGCCCTGAAAACACTAAGATGCTTCAGCCATGAGGAGACAAGAGATGAGCACAAATCCAAGGTATCTGTGGAAGACGCTCAAACACAGCCCCTTCCTCACTACCACTTATTATCACGAAACCAATAGAGTTGCTTCCCTTTTTGTGATTTTCTCTAGAATATCACCGTTATTTGAGGGTTTGTCCTCCATCAGGGACTCAGGGTGGAGAGGCCTGTATCAGAATAGCGTTGAGGGATGGCTGTTAAGTCTAAATGCAGCCACTTAAGGCAGCTGCAACTGGCCATTAGCTTCCTAGCAGCCAGTGCAAAAAGGGTAACAGGTCTAATTATAGGGCTCTTCAAAAGCCAGTTTTCTTAATCTGGGTGTCTGAGGGAGAATTCAGAGAATCTGTGAACTTGGATGGGAAAAAAAAAAAAAATCCCATCTCCCTTTTCATGTTTGAACCTCCAAAAAAATGAGGTTTTTCTTCAGGTGACAGTGGAGGCGTCAAACCACAATAGTACTAGCAGGGCTGATGACTTGGCCACCAACAGAAACCACAGAGTTTCAAAGCACAAGACAGTTACTATAGAGACCTTGAAACATCCTTCATGCTCACTGCTTCAAAATTACTAGACCTGCTGCCGATGGCCTTACTAGTTAAATACACTCATAAAGGAGCCCATACAGTACCTGAACACAAATGGGTTTTCTCAATATTATGATAACTGCGTTTCAATATCACTGTTTTCCTTTGGGGTCCCTGGCACTTTATCCACATTTTGAAACGTTATTCTGAGATAGGAGGTAAGAGATTCGGGACCTCTGTGAGGAAGGCGTGGCAAAGCTGCTCCTGATGCTAAGTTCTACAACTGCGTTTCAATATCACTGTTTTCCTTTGGGGTCCCTGGCACTTTATCCACATTTTGAAATGTTATTCTGAGATAGGAGGTAAGAGATTCGGGACCTCTGTGAGGAAGGCGTGGCAAAGCTGCTCCTGATGCTAAGTTCTACGTGGTGGCTCCTGGCGGGGCTTGAGACTGGTATGTGGCGAACACTGAAGCCTCATCCCCAGGCTGCAAGGATCCCAGGGACCCTCCCTGTGGCCCCCACACCTGTGTGGATGCCCTACCTTCCTGGGGTCCTTTCTGTCCTTGGCGCGGCCGGTGTCCTTGCGTGGGCTCAAGGGGCCGCCCTTGCCACAGCGGCTGGGCTTGGTGACCGGTGCACTGCTGGGGGGTGCGGGGGCTGCTGCCGTGGCATCGTGCAGGAAGATGCGCTCACTGCGGCGCCGTGTCCACAAGTCATCATCACTGGCCTCAGGCCCCGCCTCGAAACCAGGCTCCTTGGGGCCCCGCAGCTTCCGGGCCTTGCGCCCCTTCTCTGCTGCCAGCTTGGCCTTGTCCGGGCTGGTGGGGCCAGGGCCCCGGGAACTGGGAGTGGGCACAGCCAGGGAGGGACCTGGCTCCCCCAGCCCCTTCTTGGGCCGCAGCAGCCCAGCAGGCGAACGCTTGCGTACCTTGACCTCGCTCTCTGAGTCCGTGTACTCAAATTCTGTGCCTAGATGCAGGAGGAGGGATGGGGCTCGTGGACAAGGTCTCTGGTGGCCCCTCTATCACCCACCTACCCCACTGGCCACCAGTAGGAGGGCTACAGACCCATTCCTCACCTAAGGAACCTCACTGCCTATGGGAGCTCTTCCCCCTATTTCCAGGAGAGGAAACTGAGGCCCAGAGAAAGAGAATGACTCACCCAGCTCCCTCCTGTCTCCACCCCTGCTCAGCTGTCCAGACGCTGTTCCCAATCCCTCAACCCAAGAGCATCATCTGGGAATGTGAAGATCCTGGGCCCACCGGAGCTCCCCAAATGCTTCTGTGTGACCCATGGAAATCCCAGAAGCCAGAGCAGGTGAGCTGGGAGGGCCCCATGCCTGCAGGGCAGCCGCCCTCACAGGGAAGCAGGCAGGAAAGCCCGCAGAAAATCCCCAAGCCCCAATGGGTCTCTCCCCCTTCCTCCTGCCATTTCTCAGAGCTGGGTGGTCCCTGGCAGCATCCAGGCACTCTCCCCTTTATAGAGGGCAGCACCTCACCAGAGCCCACACAGCCCCAGGCCTGCCCCATTTCACAGCAAGGGCTCCACCTCCCCCAGCCCAGGGTCTCAGACCTCAGCTCCTGGGCTCCTTGGACACACACCCTCTGACATCGGGGCTGATGGACTCTCATGCCCCTCGTGACTGCCCCCACCCTCTCTAACCTCCAGCCTTTTGCTTCTGCTGTTCCTCTGCCCAGAGCACCATCTCCCCTGCACCTCTACTTGGAAAACCACTGAGTCCTCTGTGAGGAGACGCCCTCACACACCAGGAAGTCCTCTCTGTCCACACTTCTGTCATCACAGGCAATGTCACAGCAGCGCATGTCAGTCCATGTCTCAGCCTGCCCCCTGACCTGACCCACCCCCTGGAAGTGGATCCCTGAGCTCTCCTAGAACCCAGGGAAAGTATGTGAGCAAGAGATCGATGGCACTTCTCCCTGAGACAGGGGCTTCAAGGTGTATTCATCCCATGGGCTATGAGAAGGGTCCTGCTAGACCCCAAGGATGAGATGAATGTGACCTGCCTTGGGTCCCTCAGCACACGAGCCAAGAAACCATGACCCAACTCCAGGCCAACTTACCCCCAGGGCAGCTGGCTGTCTGCCCACAAGGGTTCCCAAGGGAGACCTGGCCCCACTGCCCCAACAGATGCAGCCACAGCATAAGGGACAGGCAGGGACCACCCAAAGGGAAGGAGTCACTAGCAAAGCTTAATGATCCCATTAAGTAATCTTTCATTAATAGAGTTCCCGCTGCTCAGGATGGCAGCTAGGCGCTGTTGTGGCTGAATAGGGTGCTGGCAGTGGCCCATTAGGGTTCAGGCAATAAAACAGGCTTGAGAATTTTGCTTCTGGGTATGACAGAATGAGACCCTACCCAATGACAGACCCCAACCCCCACACCCTGCTAACCATTAGAACTCCTGGGCATGTGTAATCCCACACAAGTGCATTGTGCATGGAGCAGGTATGGAGAGCAGAGAGAAGGCTCACTCGGAAGCGGGGAGACGGGAGCACCTCTTATCCCAGTACTAGATACAGTCTTCTTGACACACGTGGTGGGGAGGGTGGGGCATGCATGGAAAAGAAATAGAGGCCTTCTGACCTCAGGCACCAGGGAAGAGAAGCCTAGAAACGGACAGCACAAAAAAGAGAGGAAGCCAGACAGGGATCCCCAAATTCTATCAACCCACACCTCAGAATGACCTTTAAACTACCCACACACAGAACAGACTCAAAGCGGCCCAGGTAACAGGAAAAAGTGACCTGAACGGAGACCAGCGAAGCCACTCAAGAAACAGAAATTGGAGTTCAAGGCACACCAAGGCAACACCTGCTGAAAAGAAGGAAATGATACTCCCCGAAGAAAAATAAGGGCATTCTGACTCTACACAACAGTGTCTCCCTATTGTCCAAGACACAATTCAAAATTACTCCACAAACGAAGAAACAAGAAAACACATTCTGGAGAGAAAAGGAAACCAACTGAATCTGACCCTGAGACAAAGCAGATGTTGGAACTAACAGGCAAGAATTCTGAAGTGGATGTTATAACTATCCACAAAGAGGTCAAACAAAACTTGTTTTGATCACATGAAAATTTCATCAGAGAAATGGGAAGGACCTGCAAAGAAATGGAAGCAACTGAAAAGAACCAAATGGAAATCTTAGGCCTGAAAAGTACAATTTTGAGAATAAAAAATTCACTGAAGGGACCTAGGAGCTGAATGGATATGATTAAGAGAAGAGATGAGTGAGTTTGGAAAAAATAGAGCCTCGGAGACTTGTTAGCCAGTAACAAACAGTCAATTATATGTCAAGCAGGAAAGGAAACAGAGAATGGGGAGGAAAAAAAATACTTGAAGAAATAATAGCTGAAACTGTCCTAAATTTGATGACAAACAGCAATTTAAAGATACAAGATGTTAAACGAACACCAAGAATATTAAACACAAAGAAGTTAATATTAAAGCATATCACAAACTGTTGATAGCCAAAGATAAAGACAAACCCTTAATAGCAACAAGAGAAACTTGACCTGTCACTTACAGAACAATAGTTTGATTAATGACTAACTTTTTAGAAGACAGAAGAGAGCAGAACATCTTTAAAGTGCTGAAAGAAAAACCTGTTAGCCCAAAGTTCTACATGCAGTAGAAATATCACTCAAAAATAAACGTGAAATAGAAATATCTTTAGATAAAAGAACACTAAGAAAATTCATGACCTGCAGATCTACACTAAATGAACTTCTTCAGGATGAAACTATGTAGAAACTCAAATCCTCAGAAAAGTCTGAAAAGCAACAGAAATGATAAATATATGAATAAATGCAAAAAAATGATTTTTTCATTTTTCCTCTTAATTTCTTTGTAAGCTATATAAATGTTAAAACTACATGTATAACATTATCTTCAGAGGTTGATAACATGTGAAGACGTATTACATATAACACATATAATATAAAAGATGGAGGTGTGACAGACATAGGTTCCAAGATTTCTATATTTTATGTGAAGTAACACATTATTAACTATAAGCGGACTATAAAAAGATAAGAATGTATATTGTTATCTCTGTTTTCTATTTTTGAAATTCCAAAACAATACTGAGAAAGCTATCAGGAAAATTAAAATGGAATTCCTAAATATACTAATATAATCTCCCCAAAAAAGGCCACAAAAGAGGAACACAGGAACAAAAATTAGACGAAAAACAAAATGGTAAGACACAAATAAATTGAAAGTCAAAGGACAAAAAAAAATACCATGCAAATAGTAATCAAAAGAGAGCTGGAATGGCTGTAGCAATAGCAAAAAGAAGAGCATTTTTAAGACAAAACTTGTAACTAGAGACAAAGAAGGACATTCTAAAGTGATAAAAGGGTTCATTCATCAGGAAGATATACAATTATAAACACATGTGACATAATACAACAGCATGTTTAAAAGATTAGGGCCGGCCCGTGGCTCACTTGGGAGAGTGTGGTGCTGATAACACCAAGGCCACAGGTTCGGATCCCTATGTAAGGATGGCCAGTTAGCTCACTTGGGAGAGCGTGGTGCGGACAACACCAAGTCAAGGGTTAATATCCCCCTACTGGTCATCTTAAAAAAAAAAAAGAAAAAGATTATATGCCATGACCAAGTGAGACTTATCCTAGGAATGTAAGATTGGCTCAACATACAAAAAAAAAAAATCAATGTAATACACCATATCAATAAAATAAAGAATAAAACCTATATGAATACTTCAATAGATACAGAAAAGTCATTTGACAAAACCCAACACCCTTTCATGACTTCCTCAATCTGACAAAGGACATCTGTGAAAAACCCACAGTTAACATCACACCTAATGGTGAAAGACTGAACGCTTTCTCCCTAAGATCGGAAACAAGACAAAGCTATCTGTTCTCACCACTTCTACTCAATTTTCTACTGGAGGTTGTAGCCAGGAGAATTAGGTAAGAAAAAGAAATAAAAGGCATTCCCATTATAAAAAAAGAAGTAAAACTATCTCTGTCTGCAGATGACATGATTTCAGATATAGAAAATCCAAAGGAATCTATTAAAAAACTATTACAACTAATAAATGAGTTAAGTAAAGTTGCAGGATATAAGATCAATATACAAAAATCAACTGCATTTCGATATAGTAGCAATAAACGCTCCAAAAATGAAAAGAAAATAATTTCACTTACAATAGCATCAAAAAGTATAAATACAAATAAATTTAACAAAAGAAGTACAAAACTTACACACTGAAAACTATGAAATATTATTGAAAGAAATTAAAGAAGACTCAAATAAATGGAAAGACATCTCATGTTCATGGATCAAAAGACTTATATTGTTAAGATGCCAGTACTGCACAAACTGATCTACCAATTCAACACAACCACTAACAGAATCTCAGCTGGCTTTTTTGCAGAAATTGACAAAGTGATCTTAAAATTCACATTTTAAGATATGCAAGGAACTCAGAGGCTCCAAGACAACTTAAAAAAACAAAAGAAAAAAAAAAAGATGGAAGACTCACACTTCCCAATTTCAAAGCTTACACAAAGCTACAGTAATCAAGACAGTGTGGTACTGGCTTAAAAACAGATATATAGATCAATGGAACAAAACTGAAAGTCCAGAAATAATCCCTTCCATTTATGTTCAATTGATTTTCAACAAAGGGGCCAAGACCATTCAAAGGGGAAAAAGAACAGACTTTTCAACACATGATACTGGGACAACTATCTATCCACATGCGAAAGACATCTACATTACACCATACACAATAATTAAATTTAAATGGATCACAGACCTAAATAAAACAGCCAAATTACAAAAATCCTAGAAGAAAACAGGAATAAATCTTTGTGACACTGGATTAGGCAATCCTTTCTTACATATGACACCAGAAGCACAAGTGATGAGAGAAGAAACAGGTAAACTAAATTTTTCATCAAAAGTAAAAACGTTTGTTTCAAACAACATTATCAAGGAAATGAATAAACAATTCACAGAATGGGAGAAAATATTTGCAAATCATATTTCTGATAATGGAGTTATAGGCATGATATACAAAGAATTCTTACTCAACAACAAAAAGACAAATAACCCAATTGAAAAATGAGTAAAGGTTGGTTAGAGCATAGCCTTACAACACCAAGGTCACGGGTTCAGATCCCTGCACCAATCAGCCACAAAAAAAAAACGAACAAAAAAAAAGTAAAAGATCTAAATAAGATATTTCTCCAAAGAAGACATACAAATGGCCACTAAACATATGAAAAGATGTTCAACACCATTAATTATTAGAGAAATGCAATTCAAAACCATTTACTGGGATGGCTATAATCAAATAGACAGATAGTAACAAGTGCTGGTGAGCATGTGGAGAAACTAGAATCCTCATACACTGTTGGTGGGAATATAAAATGGTGCAGCCACTTAGGATAAACAGTTTGACAACTCCTTGAAAGGTTAAATGTAAAGTTGTCAAATGACCAGCAATTCCACTGCTAGGTACATACCCAGGAGAATTGAAAACTTATGTCCTCACAAAAATCTGTACATAAATATTCACAACAGCATTATCCCATAAAAGCCTAAAGGTGTAAACAACCCAAATGTCCATCAACTGATGAGCGGATAAACAAATGCTATATAGCTATAAAATGGAATACAATTCAGCCATAAAAAGGAATGAAGTACTGATACATGTTACAACATGAATGAAACTTGAAACCATTATTCTAAGTGAAAGAAGCCAGATATAAAAGGCCATACATTATATAGTTTCATTTACATGAAATTTCAAGAACAGGTATATATGCACAGAGACAGAAAGTAGTGGTTACCCAGGGATGAGGTCTGTGGGAATATGGAGAGTGACGACAAACAGATATGGGGTTTCTTTTTTGGATGATGAGAATGATCTGAAATTAGATAGTGGTGATGGTTACACAATTCTATGAATACAATAAAAACGCCTGAATTTGAGGGGATGTATTTTATGGTACGTGAATTATACTATCAAGCGCCACATGACAACATTTCAGGCAACAATGAACTACATTTAAAATGGTGGTCCCATAAGACTATAACAGCTATACCATATAGCCTAAGTGTATAGTAGGCGCTGTGTGTGTGTGTGTGTGTGTGTGTGTAAACACACTCTGTGATGTTCCACAATGATAAAATCACCTAATACACATTTCTCAGAACACATCTCTGTTGTTAAACAATGCATGACTATATATTTTTTTAATTTTTTAAACAAAAACAAAATAATTTTTTAAAAATTTGAGTCAATTCAAATCCAACCACATCAATTACATTAAATATTAATAATCAAACTCTCCAATGAAAAGACAGAAATTACAGAAAAGATTTAAAAAAAGAAAAAAAGACAACTATATGCTGTCTACAAAAGACTCACTTTAAATATGAAGACAAAGATAAATTGAGTAAATGGATGGAAAAAAGTATACCAGGGAAATAGTATGCATAAAAAAGTTGGCATGACTAATACCAGATAAAATGGCTATCAAAACAAAATATATTACCAGAGACAAAGAACTTAATAATAATAAAAGGGTCAATTCAGAATAAAAACATAACAATCATAAATGTGTATGCACCCACAACCAGAACTTCAAATATGTGAAGCAAAAATTGACAGAATAAAATTAAAAGGAAAACAGAATTCTGCGATCATTGTTGGAGATTTTAACATCTACCTCTAAGCAACAAATAAAACTAAACAAAAAATCAGCAAAGAAATAGGTCTAAACACTATTAATCACATTGACTTGATTGATATTTACAGAATACAAGGGGTCTTTCAAAAAGTTAATGAAAAAATTCGTATTAACTTGTAAATCTATTTTTTTCCACGAACTTTTTTTGTTTTTTTTTCTTTTTGCCATGAACTTTTTGAAGTACCCTTGTAATATACCTAACAATGTCATAAAATATATTCTTTAAGCATACATAGAACATTTACTAGGAAAGATCATGTATCTTCAAATCTTAAAAAATTTTGAAAGATTTAATTTATAGAGTATGTTATCTGACCAAGATGGAATTAAACTAGAAATCAATAACAATAACATAACCAGGCAACTTCTCCCAAATATCTGGAAAATAAATAATACTCTTCTAAATTATCATTGGGTCAAAGTAAAAATCACATGAGAAATTAGAAAATATTTTGAACTGAATACTAATGAAAATACAACATATCAAAATTTGTGAGATGCAACTGAGGCAGTGTATAGAAAGAGGTCTATGGCTTTAAATGTCTCTATTAGAAAAGAACAAGGTCTCAAATTAATGATCTAAGTTTCTACCTCAAGAAAAGGGAAGTGGTTGCAAATTATACTCTAAGTAAACAGAAGGAAGAAAATAAAAAAGAGCAGAAATCAATGAAACTGATAACCTGTAGCCAGACTAATTAAGAAATAGAGAAGAAACAAATCATCTGTACCAGCAATGAAAAAGAGACATCACTACAGACTCTTCAGACATTAAAAGTATAACAAGGAAATAATTTGAACTATATGACATTACATTTGACAACTTGGATGAAATGGATATTTGGGGCTATAGGAACAGCAATTGCAAAAGCCTGAAAGGACTAGGATTGCTGGTACATTTAGGGGCTGTGAACAGGATGATGCTGTCCAGCAGCTTGAGTCTGATAGTAGAGGGCCAGACAGGTGGTATCTGACCAGAGGGCAACAGGGAGCCCTTGAGGCTCCAGCTACTTCCGAAGAAAGGTCGAGCTTGGTGGAAGGCTGGCACCACCATCCAGGAGAATAAGGCCTGAAGCCTGGATTGCATCTGACCAGAGGGCAACAGGGAGCCCTTGAGGCTCCAGCTACTTCCGAAGAAAGGTCGAGCCTGGTGGAAGGCTGGCACCACCATCCAGGAGAATAAGGCCTGAAGCCTGGATTGTCTGTGGAACAATGGCAAGGGATAAGGTAGAAAAAGAGGAGAGGGAGGAGGCGGAGCGCAGGGCAGGGCCTGGAACCTGGCATGGGTGCTGGAAATGGGCCCCGGAAGGCAGTACAGACAGGGGATGAGGCTTTGGTCCCCAGCCTGCTGAGCATGTGAAGCCAGGGGCAGCTGGGGGAGGCCTCTGAGGGGCAGCAAGGGGCACCAAAGTACCTGTTTTCCTGTCCCAGTCCCTGCCAGGAGGGCCTCATGCCTGCTCCTGCTCAGAACAGGACACCAGAGGTTCAACACACACCTGCCCCCACTGAGGCCAAGGGAGCTCAGCTGGAACACATGCAGAACCATCTCCATCTCAAATACCAATCATAACCGCAGGTGGGCTGGGTCCATGTGAAGACACATGGCCTCATGAGAATGGGGGTGGGCCCAGGAGAGGGTCCCAAGAAGGCAGGGCCCTAACACAAGGATATGATCACAGATGCAGAGACAGTAAGAAAGTGAGGCCAGGCAAGCTCCAAGTGTTAGCGTCTATTGTCTTAGTTTGTCCATCTGGACAGTGGGGAGGGCAAGCCTGGTGTAACAGAGTGGCCACGAGGATCAACTTCAACAACAGAGCATGGTGCCTGCCCACCCCACCCCTGATCCTCCAGTCCCCAACCCCAGGCCACATGAGGCCTGCCCCATCTGCCCCATCTGCCCCACCATTCTCAGCACCCCCTCTGATGCCACACATGTGAGGAGCTTTCCCTTCCTCCAATCTCTGCACGGCCTGCTCTTTCTCCCTGCACCTCTGCTTCTCAGCCAGCCTAGGTGTCACAAACCTGGAGTGGGCTCCCTGATCCCCCAGGCTGGGTCAGGGGCCTCCTTTGGGCTCCCACAGCTCCCCAGGGTAGCCGAGATCAGGCCATGTTTGTTGAGAGCATGATGGCAATGGAGACCTCTCTGTGGCAACGGCAGGCCAAGGCCCATGTCCCCAGAGCCCCTCTGCTCAGGATGGGACTGGCCTACGAGGCAAGGGGTCCATCTGCTCCCCAACTCTGCTTCTACCTGTCTCTGAGCCTCAGTTTCCTCATCTGTGGGATAGGGCAATGGCATCCACCTCCCTGCAGCCCACCTGCCAGCACTCACCCATCAGGCTCTGCCGCTCCTCTTTCTTCCGGGCCTTCTGCTTGGCCTCCAGCTGCACCACTGACAGGGACGGCCCCACTGTGGGGCTGGGGAGGGCGCTGGCTGCAAAGCGGGCCAGCAGGCCCAGCCCACTCTCCTCCAGGCCTGGCGACAGGGCCCGCTCCCGGGCACCCAGCCTACAGCCGCCGCTGGCCTCCTCCTCCTGCTCCAGCTCCTCCTCCTCGTCCTCCTCCTCAGAGCTCTCATCTGGCGTGCAGAAAACAGGGGACAAGTCAGAGTCTCATCCTTGGGCACACACCCCCCACTGCCACCCAGGCCCGGAGCAGCCACTTAGCTCCAGCCTAGCCCCTCAGTCCTCACCACAGGGCTGCTAGGTGTGGATTCAGAACCATCCCACAAGTCCCACCAATGGCCCAATGCCCCCATCAAACTGAGCCCAAGACACAGGCGTCTGGGACAGCCCAGAGGTGGGCAGCGGCTTTGGGTATCAGGGTGGGCTTCTAGAAGGGGAGCACTGACATGCACCTGCACTGTGGGCAGGGGGACAGACACACGGACAAGGACTGGAGACAGCTCTCTCCACGGTCTCACACACATACACACACACACGCCCCAACATACGACATGGAGGCCGAGGAAGGAGGCAGGAGAGGAGAGAAGGAAAGAGAAGGCAGAGGGAGGTAAGAGAGGGAATGGGAGCGGGCCTTCGGGCATCAGGCTGGGGTTCTGGGCACAGGCACCTTGGGGGACTTCCACCAGAAAGAGGCCTGGGGCTGGCAGCAGAAGGTGGAGTTTGGTCTCTTCCTGGGGGATGGGGGGTCCCCCACAGTTCGAGCCCTGAGCAGAGCTCTGGAGTCCAAAGTGGACTCCCAGCAATACCCACGTGCTGGGGAGTCTGGAGCAAGTCCCTAACCCTAGCCCTCTGTGAGCCCCTATTTTCTCATCTGTGGTATGGGGTGACCCTCCCAGCCCCAACTCAGCTAAGGGGAGGATCCAAACAGGACCACATGTATGAAGGAGAAAAAATGTTTTGCAGGTTTAAAGAAGATCAAACAAACAGGGCCACTCCCTGTGACCTACAGAAAGGAACTATGCTGTCTCCACTGCCCAGGAGCTATAGGGAGCCCACTGGGGGACAGATGAGTCAGCCCACCCTGCACCAGGGAGCCTTAGGCTCAACAGGGTCAAGTCCTCCAGCTGCAGAGCAGGACTTGAACCCAGGGTGGGTGGGCCAGCTAAGAAGCCCCAGCAATTGGTCCTGCTGTCCTGAGGGCCTGTAGCCCTCCAAGGCCAGCTCGGGCTATTAGGACAAAGGCAGGGTAGATGGGGGATCTGCAGGGAGAGCAGGGGATGACACTCCCTGCAGATGAACCAAACTTCCCACCAAAACCCCCACTGTCTTGATGCACGAACTTGCTTCTGACCTTCCTAGGGAGACAACCTGACTGACCCAACTAGGGTAGGCAGGCGGGAGGCATCTGAGAGCTGATTGCTGTGAAATGCAATGGCCACGGTGCCCAAGCCTGCCCTTCTGCTTTGCAAGCCAGAGCACTGGGAGCACGAAGGTGGTTCTGGGAGCCCATGGCCAAGGGCGGGGCCCAGGCAGGGCTGGACAGCAGCTCTACCCAGCAAGAAGAGGCAGGAGAAACCACACTGTTTCCAGGACAGGGAGCAGTCTAGGTTCTGGGGGATGCAGAGGGGAAGACAAATGACCAACTCCACGTTCTCCTGCCAATGCCCCAAACCGCCCGCTTGCCTAAGTGCAGCCCCAGGGGTGCCAATGAGGGCAGAGGTTCTGTCTGTCTTCCCGTTTGTCAGAGGGAGCCCAGCTTGCTGTTGGGCCACCCCTGGGAGAGAGAGGCAGTGATAAACTTGAGGAGTCCATAAGGGCATAGAGACAAGGAAGAGGCAGAGGAAGAGAGGAGGTGCGTTAAGAGGGGTGAGAAGGCGGGAGGCTGGCTCCCTGAGCGATGGATGAAGCAGGCTGGAGGGGCCAGCGGGGCAGGCAGGGGCAGGCAGGCAATGCACACTTGCGATCATTCACATTGCGGACGTCACATGGTTCTGTCTCCGCCCCAGTGGGCCACAGCGGCAAAGCAGGCTAAGTGTAGGCAGACTTTTGACAGCGCCTGGGTCCCCCACATCAGGCCTCCCTGGGGTTGGCCAATTTGAGCAGGGTGGCAGGCAGGGGGCTGGCTGGGGTAGGGCCATGGGGTTGGATATGTGGCCAGGAATTTTCCCTTCTAATGACACCCTGCCCTGGCTGCTCAGGTGTGGAGACTCCAGAACTCCAGGAATCTTTCCCATCCAGAAGGATTCTCAACCAGCAGGGTGTGGCGGGGCAAGTAAGGAGGGCCAATTCTGGGTTTCTGTATGCCTGCAGCATCCACATCAGATCCCAGAAAGCCAGTAGCAGGCCAGTCCCAGCACCCTGAAATGGAACAGCATTCGGAAAGCAAAGACCAAAAAAGGGTGTACTTTCCACAAAATGGGGACACAGCCTCCTGTGACTCTCCCGATTCCCTCCTGCTTGACAAGCCCACACTGGCTGACTCCCACGGTAGTTGGTCTGCTCAGGCCAGGGTCCGGGGTTGGGGTGTGAGGACCAAGAAAGCTTTTCTGGAGTTGTCCACAGCTGAGGCAACACAGCCTGCTGGCGGAGGGGCAGGAGGGGGGTCCCGACAAAGAGACCCAAGGAAATGCAGAAAAACTTTATTCTATTTTTAAAATCTTGGTTCGGTACATGGGGTTGGCTGTTATAACTTGGTTCGACCCAATAGATGCCAAAGCGATCTGCTGCTGCCAGACCCGGTGGGGGCAAACCCCGAGGAGGGGGGGTGTACAGAGGACAGAAAGAAAAGGGTTTTGCCTACCTACGGAGCAGCGAGCCGGGCTCGGACCCAAGCTCGGTGCCCCGCTGCGCCGTCTGCCCTACTCCCAGCCTTCGCTTTGCGTCCAGAGTGCAGCGTGAGAGCAAATGCAAGAGACCGAAACAGACATTCAAAGCGTCATGGGTAGGGGTCAAGGGTGAGGTATGGTCAGGCTGCTGGGAGGAGAAAGCAGACACACTAGAAAAGCCAAGCCGATTAAGTGTTTAGTACCGGGGTCAGTAAGGCCCTATTACCCAAATATCCCTTTTGAGACCTGATCAATGGTCTGCTTGCAGGGAGGCAAGCCGAGGAGCCTGAGCCCCCCTCCCCACACCCCCTCCGCTCCCCTATCTGCGCTCTGTCCATGGACACTGCTGCAGCCAGCCCTGCGTTCCAAAGCTGGGCAAACGACCCCTTTCTGAGAGCTCTGGAGGGCTGCCTACTTCTCTGTAGGGTCTGAGCTGGGGCAGGAGAGCTCAAAAACTTGGAAGCTGGAACCCCGGCTTTAATGGCATGGAGGGATGGGGCATGGAGGTCTAGCTGAGGTCAGAGAGGGAGGTCGGGGAGAGAGAGGGGAATGGCAAACCAACCAGACTCATCCAGAAGAGCCGGAGGACCTCGGAAAACGAGGCTGGTCAGTTAGTGACCTCTCTTCTTGGCCCAGGTTGCATTCACTCAGACAGGAGGCAGCCCAAGAGAATGTGAGCCCAAAGGGCATCCGACTCCCTGCAGTGCCATCTCCTGATCACCCAAAATCCATCTCTGCCAATTTGGAGGGGAGGTATGGGAGGGGAAAAGGTAGACCAGAAATTTGAGAGCAAGGCTGGAAAGCTGGGGCAGGGTCCTGGTCCCAGGTTGCTGCACCAGTTCATATGCAGGTTCCCCATGACACTCCCAGGCCTCACTCAAGGAGCAACTGACATCTGGGTGCTGCTACCCAGGGCTCTGGGGACCCCCACGGCCTGGCCCTAAAACCAGGCCTAGGAAATGTTTTCAAGAATTCACTTGCTTCCCCTTCTTGGGACATTTCTGATTGAAGGGCCTGAAGGGCTCAGACACTTCTAACCCCAGAAGTACAATTCTGACATTAGAGAAGTCAGAGCCAGAATGTTCTCAGGAGTAAAGGTCTGACCCTTTTTGTATAAGTGGGTGGCTGAAGACCCCTGCTGAGCTGAGGCCTGGAGGTCTAGGACTGCTTTGTCCCTCAACATGGCAATAAAGCCAATGCTTTCAAATTTAACAAAGACCAGGGACATAAAATGGTCTTGACCCTGCACTGCCTACACACCCTTCAAAACAGAAACTTGTGTTAGGAGACAGGTGTTTATAAATAAATATTTTTTTAACCACTGGTGAATAAGAATACAGCTTTAAGAAAATAAAAGACAAACAAGCAGCTTAAAAAAAAAAAAAAAAGATGATGCTGGAGGTGAGAGCAGCTGACTTTAAACCTGAAAAATGAAATGAATGCCAATAGCTACCAGGGATATTTGAATAATAGAGGAAAGCGCAGACGGCGTTATCCCATCTCTGCTCCTTCTGGGGTAGTGAGGAGGAGGGGGACGGAGGAGGGGAAGGAGGAACAAAATGAAGGGAAGCATCAACCTAACATCTAGTAAGGACACAGCAAGAGAGACAAGGCACACGGGTTTAGTTAAAAATGAACTCGATATGTTTAATAAAGCTTGGTATTACCAAAATCGCGGTACAAACATCAAGTCACACGCCCACACGACAGAATTCCATTTACAAAATGTCCCTCAGGAAGCCTCCACCAGGCCCTCGCCAAGAGAGAACCCAACCCAAGCCTGTGGTCTAGGCGGGCAGAAAAGGCGAGGGGGTGGGGCAGAGGGCGGAGAGGGCAGAGAGTGGAGGAAGGTGAAGACTAAAAACTGATCTGTATAAAAGCTCAAAAAGAGCTAGCCAATGATATTATCACAATGATGCAGTACAAATAAAAACAAAAGTAAAAGTAAGTCAGCTGATAAGGCAGGCTATGCTGCCAAGAACCCAGATGGCTGCCCTTCCTGCAGCCATCGAGGTGGACGGCCGAGCCTCTGCCATCTCTCCTGCGCGCCCACGCCCGCTCTCACCCGCGCTCGCTCTCACTCACTCTCTCGCTAGAACACATGGAAGGGGTTTTGTGTTTGGAGCTAGTAACCTTGGTCAATCGAGTCCTCCGAAGAGTCGCTGAAGGAGGATCGGGCCTCAGCCTCTCGAAGCAGCAAACAAAACGGCTGCTTCCTGCTGGCAGCTGGCTTGGGTTTCAGAGTCCGGGGGCCCACCAGGCCCCTCTTGGCCAGCTTGGAGCCTCCAGCAGGTTTGCTGTTCTTTGCCACCATGCCACACAGAATGGAAGACGTCAGTTTGGAGCTGGAGGGGCCTTGAGCAGACCACTCATCCTTCAGGAATTCTTCCTCTTCCTCTGAGTCCGTATCTGCAGTCAAAGTAGTTTTTAATAAAGATAAGTCACAGAGCGCCAGGGAGGAGGGAAGAGCTGGTGTCTTTATTGTTTTTAGCAGTTCTGAGCACACACTGGGATGTGCTAAAACAGAGAGGTCCAGATGCCTACTGCCACGGAAAAAGCTTTTACGACACCATGGGCTCTCCTCCCAGGCCTGGGCCTTTCACCTTTCACCTGGGGAGGCCTCCATACTGTACAGCTCATTTTTTGAGTGCCTGGACCAGGCCCTTTCTAGGCTGGATGCTGCCAGCATCACCCACCATGGTCACTTCAGCAATAAGCCTTTCCAGACACAAGGGGTTGGGGGGTCTATCCTCAGGAGTGACTCTCTCCTGATCATAGCAGTCACTGCCATGCATTCCTGCTCTATTTCACCGGACTGCACACAGCCCAAGGGCTCCTTCTAGGAAAGGATATGTCCCAGGAGGAGATGGGTCATCACACACACCTCTTCCCAATCCCTGCTCAGCAACATCACAATGGTAGAGTGAGAGCATTTACACCAAGGTTATTGGCAAATGACGTTACAACTATGGCCCCCCCCCCTTTTTTTTTTTGATGGCTGGCCAGTTCCCAGCCCTTTTTAATCAGAGAGCCAGTATACCAGCATATCACCTCTGGCTTCCCATAAGTCTCTGGCCTGACTACGTGATTGAGGACAAAGGTCTTCAAACCTTCCTGAGAGAGGACCGACTGACTTTGGGGAGAGGAGCCTATTAAGTGGGAGCAGCTCTGGCCCCTTCCAACCCCAACCCCAACACATTCACACCATTTTTATCTGTTTTACATATTTGGCTGCTGAACAAGGTGGGAAGAAAGGGCTCCACAGCCGAAGACTAATCCCTTGACCTGCTAAAATCCACTCCAAACGGGAGGAACATTAACCAACACAGCTGCACCTCCAAGGTCCAAGAGAAACTACACAAATGGGAAGCAGGGAAGGTCCTGTGTCTGTTTCCATCAACATCTATACTTTCTATTCCAACCCAGACCCCAACTTCAGGATGGCCTGGCAATTCTGGGGTCAAGCCTCACTAAGCTGCTAGCTCCTAGCCATCTCCCAGCCACAGCTTTCTCTCCTGAGGCCACATTCCAGGCTGGAGAAGCAAGTAGATGACGAAAACCAACTTGGCATGCCACCCACCCCCAACGACCCAGACTGAAAAAGCAGTTCTCTTCCACCTCCTGCCAGCACAGCATCTCTCTGCTGGAAAACACCCCTGCCTCTTTGTGACCCTGCACTCCCAGTGACCCAGAGTTGCAGAAAAGCAAATTATAAAAAATAGAGGAGTGCTTGCCACAGCCAGGTGCACATTACAGCCATCATCTAGTTGGAAACAGGCCTGGTGATTTCCTCCTTGCAATGTTAGCCCGTTTCCCTCCCCTGGACAGTGGAGTTTTAGACAAAGGTATATCGGAGTCACACTGGGAACTTGAACACTCCCTCACACACGCAACTGCACACACACCTGCTGCAGTGGGCTCACCAACTTAGAGTATCCCAAAGACCTCAGGGACCAAGCGGATCTCTAGCCTCTATCTCTAGCCACCCATGTTCACCTGTAAGTGGGAGGAGTGGGGGAATCTTCCAGCACAGCCAGTGCACATTCACAGATCACTCCCCCTTGGAAGATCTTTTTTGGAGACTGAAAAAGCAAAGGAAAGCCCTTCCCGTCCCCTTCAGAGCAAGAAGTCTCTAACACCGTCCCCCTCTCTGTGCCCACACACTTGCCAGGTGCCCGAGCAGTGCTGTCTGACCGCACCCATCAGACCTGGAGGGCCACCTCCCATGTCCTCAGCACGTAGGCACGGATGAGCTGCTTGCCTCACACCCATCAGAGCATCAGTCCTGGAGACTCACTAGTCCAGAGCAAACAAAAAACACGCACGCCTAAAAAAAAATAACCCGCAGCTTAATCCTGGGCCAGGCACCATGCTCAGCTTTTTGCCCACATAAGCTCGCTTAAGGCTCTCGACAGCCCTGTGAAACAGGTGATGACATTTTAACACCAAGTCCATAAACACTTTTATTTTCTTTCCTAACGAAAATCCTACATCGTAACATTAAATGTGTACGACTTTTGCACTTGACGTTCAAACTCCACCTCCCCTGTCCGCCCTCCACAAACCAGCCAGAGCCAATCAAAAGCCCTGGACACACAGAACCAGCAGTCGCCAAACAAAGCCCTCCACCCAGGCCAGGGCCTAGGGACACCCATAATAAACACCACGGACAACGACATGGGCCAGGATCCAAGAAACCCTTCCTGACCTTCCCGCAGCAGCCACATCCCTCAGTACCTGTCCACCCTGGGCATGAGCTGCTCCCTCCACCATTACTGAGCGAGCACCTATTAGCTGCCAGGCAGCGAGCTCCAGGTTACCAGAAGCCACAGACAGCCGCCTTGCTCGGGAAAACCACACGGGCACTCCGATACGGCAGCCTCTAGTTTAATGAGATAAAACTCCGTTCCCCAGTCCCACTGGCTGCTCCACTTCAAGGGCTCAAGAGCCACACGCGGCCAGTGGCTCCCGCACTGGACAGGGCCGATATGGAACACGTCCATCGTGGCAGAAAGTTCTAGTGGCTAGGCGAATCGGACAGACCCGGGTTGAATCCGGCTCGACTATCCCCACCCAAGGGCACACACTTCCCTGTACCTCTCCAGCCTCAGCATCCTCAGCAACAAAATGGGGGTAACCGCTCGCAGGGTGGCTCCCGCACTGGACAGGGCCGATATGGAACACGTCCATCGTGGCAGAAAGTTCTAGTGGGCAGGCGAATCGGACAGACCCGGGTTGAATCCGGCTCGACTATCCCCACCCAAGGGCGCACACTTCCCTGTACCTCTCCAGCCTCAGCATCCTCAGCAACAAAATGGGGGTAACCGCTCGCAGGGCTGTCACAGATACAATGAAAGAACGCCCGTGAAGCCCTCCATTCAGAGCTCAGCAGGTACTCGCTCCCATCACTGCTGTTTTCACTTTCACTACACGTCAGTCGTCCGCGGACGACCGCGAGCTTCCGACCGTGAGCTTCCTGCGGGCAGGGGAGGCCGGTCATCTCCAGGACCCTCAAAAGTCGCTTCACTCCAGACCTCTCCAGGCCGAACAGCCCCGAACTCTATAGCACGCAAGGCCTCCACGCCAACCGCTTCCGGAAAGCTAGTGTAGGGCGGGCACGTGGGGGCAGACGGACATCCGTTCCCATCCGCCAATCACGGGTTCTCACCAATCACAGGCGCCTGCCCAGCACCGCACCCACCAATTACCGGCACTTCCACTTCAGCCGTACCCACTTCCGGCCTGGAGACCGCGCAAAGCCAGACGAGGTCTTTAAGTGACCCAGACAGAGAATGAGGAGGAGGAAGGTGAAGGAGAGAAAAGGAGAGAAGTAGCGGCCCGGGAGGCGGCACTGCGTCCGCTACTTACTGTAGGAATAGCTGCTCACTTCCGAGGCGAACGGGGAATGGGCCGACTTGGGCGGGCCTCTGGCCTTGAACCCCACCTCCATCTTCCTGGCTTTGGCGGCCCTTTTGTGTTTACCTTCTCTGGAAGATTTCAGAGACAGGCCGAGGCCTTTGGCCAGCGCCTTCCGGTCCTTGCCCAGCAGGCTATCATAAGGAGTCAAGTACCTGCCACAGCCCCGGCTAGTTTTCGATTTCCCCCCAGAACTGTCCGAAAACTTGAAGGGCGACTTCAACTTGTCCTGTTTTGTGAGGGAGAGGGCCTTGTCTAGCTTGCTTGCCAACTGCTCCTGGTCACTGGCCATCTTCTTTTTTTTAATCTTTAGCTGGAGAGGGAAGTTGGGTCACAAGTTAAGACACTTGGCAAAACAGGATAGTGGGTTTCAGTGCACAAACTCTGACGAGGCCAGGGTCCAATTCTTCCCCCTGCCTCTGATTTCTGCCAACTTGCTTAACTTCTCTTGGCCTTAATTCTGTAAAACAGGGATACTTATGTCTGGGCATCATCATTTTTGTTCCGAAGATGAACGGAGATAAGGCACATAAAGTGTTTATCAAAATGTCTGGCACAAGGTAACCACTGAATAGCTGTTACTGTCGTTACAATTATCATTGGCACTTGCATTTCCACTCTGGCTTTCCATGGCACTGTCTGGTGCCTCCTAAGGAAGCACTTTAAGCAAGCAAAGCTGCTGATGGCCTGGACAAGGCAGCTGGATTAAGGGAGGAGGAAGGAACCAAGATTGAAAACCCAGATCGTAGCATGGCTAATCTGCTTATCTCAACCCCCTACAGCAGCTGACTGCTGCAGAGTCTAAACCAGCCTGTCCAACTAAATGGGCTGAAGCTGCCAAGAAAATGCCTGGAGTGTGCCTTAGATGCCTGAAGCAGAAAGAACCATTAGAGATTTCACAGATTAAATTCCTGCTTGCATGTCTATCGTCAACTGTAGTCATTTGTTGAAGTGAAATGTGCAGCTTCAAAGCCATCAGTGCCCTACATTTGAACATTTTATCTCTATTTTCTTTAAATCAGGTAGCATTTCATAAAGAGGAAAAAAGTTGGGATAGTATCAAAAGCATCCCTACAATTTGAGAGTGAAAAGGAGCCTGGTGTACAAACTGGCTATCTTTCTCCTGGACCCAGTCTCCCTATGTCAATATTTCCCCCTGATGGCCAAATCAACCAAAACATCCCCTTTGCATAGGGCTTTATGGGGAGGGATGACAAGGTACATTAGTATTTAGAGAAAAGAACCTTAAGTGGATGATTTCAAAGCTCTGCAGAAATGAGAAAAATCAAGGAGTTGGCTCTCACCCCATTACCCCAGGAGAGTTCACAGAGGAAATTACAATGGCATCAAGCCCCTGTTTCTTAGAACTACAGAATGGTTAAGCTGCTCATTAAACAATTATACTGTTAAACAACAGAGTAATTGCGTTATTTGGTTAAGAACTTGCAGTCTCCCTGCTTGGCTTCAGCAAAGGGTCATGGAGCATGTGAAGCTTTTAGTCCTAGCTCCACCTCTAAGGCTGTGTTACTTTGGTAAGTCCCTTACTTCTCTGGGCCTTAATTTCCTCCTCTGTACCATAAGAAAGATTAGAGAAGAGTCATTCCAGCACTAAGGCAACCATTTCTATGGTTTCTGTACAGCATTAGGGACCAACAGACCTGCAAAGGGAACATAAACTCCAACATACCCTCCAGACCCTCTATCCCAGGACCATAGTGCACCTGGAAGACTGGGTTACTGACCTGACTCATGAAGTCGGATGAGGCTTCATGCTCATCCCAAGTCTGGTTCCTTCCCCTGGCTTTCCCCATTCCAATGAGAGCATCATGTTCCTCCTCAGGCCCCTTATGTCTCTTCCTTATTGCTGCTCCCAGCTCGTAGTCATCTGATGTCAGTAGGGACTTGCTGCTCAGCCTGAAACCCAGATGCACCACTGGTAAGCACCCTTGCCAGGCAACACTGCAGGGCTGGGGGTCCACCCTTGTAGCCCTGAAGGGTTGGGCTCTGGATGCTGAAGCACAGTGATGCCAGAGTGACCAGTCTGGGGAGACAGCTCTTGTAAAGCTATTGTGCTGAAATTGTGGGATATTTGTGAATGAGGCAGAATGAGAGTTTAATGTGAGAGAAGAAGAAAAACTCCAAATTAGCATCCTCCACTGCCCCTTTCTCACTC